CTCTCCACCCAGTGACCTAGCAAGCCGCCATCTTCGGAACCCCTCCCGAAGAGAGGTTTAACATCATTAATAATTAGGAAAATAAAACCATAACAAGATGCCATTTTACACCTACTAGAATGTTTAAAATTAAAGATATTGACAAAAGCAAATATTGACAGATGTGAAGCAAGTCCAATTCTTAAAAATGTGTATATGAGTATTTATACCAGTATTAGCCACAATAAGCAAAAAGTAGAGGCAACTCAAATGTTTATCAACAGTAGAAAGATACACAATATGTATTTCAGTATATATAATTAAGTTTTTTTTTAAACCAGCCAATGAATCAACTACCTTCTACAATTCAGTTATGCAGAGGTTTGCTTCCAAAGCAAAATTAAAATTAAAAAATGAGGTTACAGGACACAACTTAGTGGTAGAACATTAATCTAAAATGCATAATGCCCCGGGTTCAAACTCCAGCATCACCAAAAATACATAAATAATTAAAAAGAGGGGAAAAAACCCTAACTGGAAGCTCAGTTGACAGGCACTAGTCGGTAGAGTCCTAAGATAGAGTCCCTTGCAGACCCTATTAAAAGGTGCAGATGACCATGACTACAGGAAAGAGCAAATCCATACACAACCTCAGATAGCCTCTACGTATACCAATAAAATAATATGCAGATCTATTTTTGCTGTTTTTCACCCCGATATTTTATAGTATATGTACTGAAAATGTTATCTTTAGATCTTGCTAAAATGAACTGTCGCTTTTATAAAATTTACTTGTCAGAGCTCACTTTCACTAAATTTCCATTTAGTCCTCAACCAGACTACCAGGTTCTCTAAATATTGTTTTTTAGATGTGTTTTTTTTTTTTTTTTTTTTTTTTTTTTAATTTTATTTAAGGAGAAAAGAAAAAAAAAAGCAGGGAAAGGGTACAAGTTATACAGATTTACAGAAAAAAAATGAACAGTAGGAAATCACTAGTTAATGGATTACATATTGTCATCTTAGAAATAATTGTTCAAGTCACAAAATTAAAGCTTGTAAAGTGGACATTCCATCAATGATACTGCAAACAGTTCTGTTCATTGATCCAATAAAACTCTGTGATATCATTTTCTATCTTATACACTTAAATATACATGCAGTTATATAGTTTAGAGCACTTTCTTTTCCTCTCTTTTGTACCGTGACTATTACACATTTTGGGTTTCATTGCTCCCACGGTTCTTATTGCTTTTTTGGAAGAGAGTAAAACCAAATGTGACAAAACAGAACAGAATCGGTCAAGTCAAAAGGGTGGACATGATAGATAATGTAAAAACATAATACAGGTGATCAACAATGGTTACCATAATGTCTCCCGCTATCTCTAATAGAATTGCCTATATCATTAGTTATAATACAATTGAACAAAACAGTAAAGAATAAAACCGACAAAACCAAAACATTGGAGACATTGTAGGTCTTCAAAAATAGCTAAAAGTCAACAAGAATGGGCGTCATAATGAATCTCATTATCTTCACAGCTGATGCCTAAACTTTCGAACCTGATACTATCCAGCAAAACAGAATAGGGGAACATCAGTTAAAAACCAGATGGTGAGAGTAATACAGGGCTTTAAATCAAGGTAATGAAAAGTCAAAATGGGTTACTATAATATATCCTGCTATTTTTTTCCTTTAATTAAAAGGATAAAGATAAAAAAGTAAATAATGGAGTGGAGATTGAGATAAAAGAGGGCATAACAACGAAACAGCGCAGATCAAAACATAACCATTTAAGCAGAATAGTGTTTCACCACCAGATAATCCTAACCTAAAAGTAGTTACCATATTGTTTCTTTCTTTGAAATCCTTGAGTACAACTTCGTATACTGTAGCATTAAGTATATCAAAACAATGTAAAACCATTCAAGAGAATGACAGCATTACAGAGTATTTAGAATCGACTAACAGAAAATGAACAATGGTTTCTGTATAATCTCCTTGTCTTTAAAAGGTTTTTGCTTATACTATCGTACATAATAAAATCCAATAAGATACAGCCTATTTAGACCATTGGAGACAGAAGGACAAAAGCTAGATGAGACTTCAAAACAAGATGGTACTAAATCAGCATTACCTATTAAGATGTCATTTTCTCCAAAATAGCTGTTCCTATCATCAAATCTTCTCTGCCTCATTTCTGTTAAGCTCTTTTTCTGTCAGTAGCTGTCAGTTTGTCTTCTTCATTTTGTTCTCTGCTCCATTTGTTGTGGCCTCCCCACCACTATTTCTGGGTTCTTTGTATTTTTCTTTTTTTAGAATATCCTGCAATACTTTCTGTAGAGTTGAATTGGTGGTTGCAAATTCCCCCAGTTCCTCTTTATCCTGGAAGCACCTTGTTTTTCCATCAATTTCCAGGGACAGTTGTGCAGGATATCTCAATCTTGGCTGGAGATTATTATCTTTCAATGCTTGAATTATTTCCCCCCACGCTCTTCGTGATTTGATGGTTTGTGCAGAGAAATCTGCTGTAATTCTGATGGGTGTTCCCTTGTAAGTGGTCTGTTTCTTGTCTCTTACAGCTTTTAATATTCTGTTCTTGTATTGAATTTCTGGAATTTTTATTATTATATGCCTGGGTGTTGCTCTGTTTGGGTTGTAGGTAGCTGGGGTCCTGTATGCCTCATACATCTGAGTATCTTTACCTTTTGCTAAATTAGGAAAATTCTCCTGGATTATTTCTGTGAGTAGCTTTTGTAGTTCACTTGTTTGCATCCCTACTTCTTCTTTTATGTTCTTAATCCTTAAGTTATGGATCCTCTTATCATCTTCTTGTCTTTGTATTATTGCTGTTTGTTTCTTTGTTATTTTTAAGAAGTTTTTCATTTCATTCTCCCATATTACAAGTCTGCCCTCCAGTTCAGATAGTCTGTCCTTAGTTTCTTTCAAGCTGTTATGCCAGTCTTCGATAGACTTCTTAGTATCTTGGTAGTCCCTTTGAACCTGCTTCACGTATTCTATGCTTTCTCTGTTTTCTCCATCAAACAATTCTCCCCTTTTTTTCTGTTCTTCCATTCCATCACCTGTTTTTTCTTGGGTGGTGCTTAGCATTTCTCTAACTATTCTGCATACTTCTAGCTTCAGGTCGTTGATAACTTCATTCCTGAATTGGTCTATGAGGCTCTCTATATGGTGCCTTATGTGTATTGGTGCGGTGTCTGCTATTGCCTGTTTCTCAGAATTGGGGGCCGAGGAGCCTTTCTTGTTGCTGCCTCTTCCCATGCTGCCTCTTCTTCTCTGTTCCTTATATATGCAAGCTTATATAAGAGGCCCAGCTTCTCTCCCAGTCAGCCACAGCCTGATCGAATTGCGCCAGTTAGGTGTTCCCGCTCACCGCTGCGCACCAGGGAGTTATGGACCAGGCAGCCTACGCGTCTCCCCTCCCGGCCACCGTCAGGCTCTGGGATCTGGGTTGGGACAGTCTACCAGGTCCGCCGGCAGCGTCACGCAGGCCAGGCACTTTTCACCAATCCCGCCCGAGAGGGGGATGTGTGGCTGGAGTCGCCACCGCGCCCTGCTCCCGCAGGACTGCTCGGGCCCAGAAAGTCCTCTGCTGGAGTCAAACTGTGGTAGAGTGTCAGTTTCTCTCACTCACCTCACCACAAGTCAGTGCACGCCTCCCTGCCGTTCGCAGATTGCCGTTCTCAGAGCTTCTGCGCATCTCTCTCCTTGCCGAGCCGCTGTAGAGGCAGCCAGCCGCCGCGCGGCGGGAAACCCAAATCGCGGCTTACAATGGCGCGGTTCCAGCCTCCACACCGAGTCTTTTCTGTTCCTGTTTTAGCACCAGGACCGCATTCCAAGTTGGCTTCTCTCAGCCCAGTTCGTTCCTGAGTCAGCAGAGCATATCTCCACCTGCTTATGTCTCCTTAGTCCGCACCATTCCTGGCTTCTGAGCCGAGTCTTTCAGAGAGCCGCCAGTAGTTGCTGTTATCTGTCCGCCATGTTCTCCCGGAAGAGCTTAGATGTGTTTTTGATAAGTAAGATCACTGAGTAAAATAGGATGATGAATGTGTTAAGAGGGCAGCTAAATCTGAATACTGACATGTATAATGTTAGGCTGGTGATGTAGCTCAGAGATAAGACCACTTGCCTAGCATGTGTGAAGCCTAGGTTCAACACCCAGTACCAGAAAAAAAAAAAAAAAAGACAAGTATTACACAGGCAATTAACACAATTATTCCATATTATCTGACAGTTTTCCTAAATTCAGAAAAGAAAGACTAGATTTATCCACTTACAGCATGGTGCTAGACCCAAAGCAGAATCCAAATAAATTAGAGGTGCTTGTTGTAACTCAGTAGAGTAAATGCAAATTACTTTTAATATTTACCAACACAATTATAAATTCATATCCACTGAGAAAAATTTATTCCAAGCAAAGTATAATTAACATATAACACAACCATCCACTTACATTATCCAATGAAATGTTCTGCCCTTTTCTTAAAGACATATTAAAGTTGATCGACCAGATATTATACACATAACTATGCAAGTATGCATATTCAAAGTTAGATTAAATTATACTTCTAGGAAAAACAATTCAAAATCACAAGTAGCACACCTTATATAATTTTTTTGTATCTGAAGAATTTGTGCACTACTTTCATAATCCAATTTGAGCCATAATGAGATTAACCTTAAATCTAAAGAACACAGATTACTTGTTTGTTCTTCTAACTGCATACTCAAGAAAGCAATAAAAACAATATAAAGGAAGACCTTAGGATACTCAGTACTCAAAGGCAACAAGAAAGATTAAATCATACAATAGTGACATTGGTTCTGGTGCCACATAACCCATTACATGTCACATTACTCATTATATATTCAGCCTATCAATTGGATTGCTTTGTAAAATATCTCATATTTAACTACAAACTTTCACAATTCTCCAGTCAACAAATGCAGGAACCACAGCCTTACCAATAATAAAACGATTTTTAACGCAATTTTCTTACCTGCCTCAACAGTTTCTCAACAGCAGACATTACCATAAGGCCTCTCCAAACAACTGGTGTACTCTCTTCAACCAGGAAGCCCATGGACATACTGCAACAGTAGTACAAAAGTACAATTCAGGTGTATAAGCTACTGGATACTATTCTAAAAAATAATACAAAAATTTTTTTAAATGCTCACCAAGCAATACCATAATTCAAAAGAGGCCTCATCCGGTTATCTGAAATAAGAAAAAAATCTCTCATTTAAAAGAGTAAAACATTATATATTAAATATACTGACTATTACTAACTTCTAAAAGTTTTTGTTTATTGTTTTGACAAATCATAACTACGTATACATGTATACATTGTAGAAAACTAGATTAACATATCTATCACCTCACCTACTTTCTTTGTGGTAGGAACATATAACTTTCATCAATTTTGAAATGTTTAAGAATGTATTTTAACATTAGTCAACATGATGGGCAACAGATCATTAGTATTCATTCCTTTTATCTGAATGAAACATTGTACCCTTTGTTTAACAGCTCCTCTTTTCCTCTTTTCCTGTCCACCCTCTCACCTCCTTTCTAAGAGTGTCAAATTAGAAATACAAATAGGCTGTTCATACTGTGTAATGTAACTTAAACTAATGCATCAAAATGTACAATCATTTAAACATTATACTCAATAGTTGCAATATCTGAAATAGTTGAGATACATTTGCATTAAAAAACAATTCAGTCGTGAGCCTGATGGTACGTGCCTGCAATCCCAGCACTGGGAGGCTGAGGCAGGAAGACTGCCTTCAAGACCAGCCTGGGCTACACAGTGAATGCAAGGCCAGCCTAAACTACACAGCAAGACTCTATCTAAAAAAAAAAAAAAAAAAAAAGTCACCTATAATTTCAAAATAGTGTTCTAAAAATACAGCCTAGATATTAATTTTCTACCAATTTTGTTCACATACATAAATATATAAATCATAAATTATCTATATGCTTATGTATATGTATATGTATATACATGTATTTGTATATCTGCATGCATACACATATCAGTTCTCCCTATGTTGGAGCATTACTTCATTTTAGTTTCTTAAAAGTTTGAAAACTAAGAAAATCAAACAAAGTTGAAAAATGATTTTGAAATCTGAGACACTGCATTCATCCCAAAAGAAAAATAATTTTATGCAGTCAAATATAAAAAACAAATATGTGTTATACACGTCAACAAAGTCTACTTCTCCACCGTGGTAGGAATCTTCTTAACTGATACTGAGCTAAAAGTTTAGGACAAAAGCATAAAAGTTCAACACTATTCTGCATTTAGATTTCACCTCACATTATTTAGGTTCTTTCTCCTCCATAAGGATATTCCATAAAACTGAAAATTGTAGTCAAAATGTACAGGTGCGATTTATATACAGTTTTTAGCTGACCTCCATTCATAGAATTCCTACTTGAAGAAAAAGCTATAGACCTTCACAAAGCTATAGACCTTCAGTGAAAAAGTATACAATTTTTAAGGTTTTCTTTTTTAACTTTTGACTAAACTAGTTCGAGCTCAAGGTCCCCTAACCTAATTTAACACCAGTACTTTCTTCCCATATAATTTTGTCAATTCTTTTAAAACATCCATCTTAAATTTTCAGAGCAATAGTGTTTCGTAATCAGCTCTGCATTTTTTTCACTATTTTCTTCAATTACATTTTTTAATGTGACTGAAGAAAATATTTTGCTTTTGTAAATTATTTTCTCTTTTGTAAAGAATTTATCAACTGTTTTTTCACCTTTGATCTGTTAAAATTATTATATTGAGGGTTTTTTAATCAATGTTGAAAAAACTTGCTTCTATTAAACTCAGTTTAATCATAATACAGTTTTTTTACATAAGGCTATATTTTGTTTACTAATATTTGGTTAATATTTTTCATATATGTTAAGGGACACTATAATTTTTCCTTTTTATTCTGCCTTTTAAGATTTACTAGCCTCAAAAAGAGAAGGTTATATATTTTTCTATGAACGAGTTTATATAAAAAATGAAAGTAGTATTTTGTTTTTTGAGTGTTGCCTTGCTAAAGTTGTGGTAGAAGATTTTAACTACCAATTCCATTTTAATGGATATGGAATAATTCAATTTTCTATTTCTTCCTTAATCTGCTTTGGATTTATTCTTTTTTTTTTTTTTTTTTTTTAATCGGTACCAGGGATCGAACTCACGACCGCCTGCTTGTAAGGCAGGTGCTTATGCCACTGAGCTAAATCCCCAGCCCCAATCTGCTTTGGACTTACATATTTTGGATTAATATTTTCCTAGTGATGCTTATTTCAACAAAATTTTTTAAATGTACTGCATAGAGTTGTTCAAATATTTTCTTACATTTGGAACCCATGTTATATATGTCAAGTTTCTTTTTATTTCCAAAATATTTATATTTTGGTATTCTCTTCCCTTAATTTTTAAAAAATCAACTCTACCAGACAGTCTAATTTATAATTCTTTTCAAAAAACACTTTTTGCTTCTTTAGTCTGTTTCTCCACTACAGCTTAGTTTCCAAGTTTATTAATCTCTGCACTTAATTATTTTGTGCCTTTTACTTTCTATTTATTATATTGTTTTAATTTCTTAGGCTAAATGGTTAGCTCATTCATCTTTTTTAATATCAACTTTGAGATATTCATTTATCTCAAACTATTATAAATACACCAAAATAAAACATGTTAACACAGATATCATCCATCCAATTACCTTTCCAGTTGAAATGCATGTTTTAACTGTTTTAACTAATTAAACACTGTTCAATATATGGCTTGCAGTTCAAACTGAGATTGGGAATTGAAATGCAAACTATCAAAAATCTTCCCACAAAACTAAAAACAAAATCTCTAACACTGCATACAGAAATAATCTTCATTTACTCTGTCAGCATGTTAAATAATAAACCAAAGAAAATATGAAAATATTTTTTATAGCTAATGAATCATCACTTGAAAACTCAGCAATATCAGCATACTCATCACCATGTTAAATATGCTTTGTTTTGTTTGTTTGTTTGTTTTGTTTTGGTGGGGGGGTTGAGACAGGGTGTTACTATATAGCACAGGATGGCTTTGAACTAATTATGTACTCCAGGTTGGCCTCAAACTCATAGTGAATGGCCTGCCTCAGCCTCCTGGTGCCAGGATTGTAGGTGTACACCACCACACTGTGCCCTAAATATGTTTCTTGAAATTTAACAGATGCTCAAGCAGATAATACACATACAGTAATGTGTTGGTTAATGGTGAAGCTATGTTGTAATAACCGTGCTGTTGCACAATTTCCTTAGTGCATGAACATCATAAAATATATTTATACAAATCTAGAAATACAGCCCACTACACATGTAGACTACCATAGTATTTGCATGCGTGTGTGTGTGTGTGTGAGAGAGACAGAGAGAGAGGAAGAGGGGGAGGGGAGAGAGCACTTAATGTTCCTCGGGTCATGATGAACAAAACAACACAAAATCAAATCAAGCAAAAGAGAAAATAACGCAATCAAGCTGACACAATAAACATGAGATTATGAGGCTACTGCCAGCAAAACATACCACATTATTTTATAGCAAACTTGTAAGTAAAAGGAGTAAACTCCAAAAAAACAATAAAAATTTATGTTACAAACCAGCAATACAGGTGTTTACTATTTTCAAGTATTATGAGTTATACATTATTATATGCACTGCACTTTTATACCATTGGTAGTGCAGTAGGTTTATATATATCAGAATCCCACAAACAAGTGAGTAATATGTTGTGCTACAAAGATGTTAAGACAGGTACAATATTACTATGTAGTAGGAATTTTTCAGTTCCATTATAATCTTATGAGACAATCTTTGTATATGCAGTTTGTCATTGATTGAAATATCAGTATTCAGCACATGATTGTATACTGAAATTCAAATGATAAGGTTAGCAAAGCAAATCAAAATCACACTGAGATACCACCTCATTTCAATAAGACACATTATTCTAAAAAGACAAACAAGAATAAGCATTGGTGAGGATACAGAGAAAAAGAAAAACTAGTATACTGTTGGTGGGATGCAGATCGGTGTACCATTTGGTAAACAGGATAGCAGATCCTAAAGAAATTAAAATAAATTGCATGTAAGCCAGCAGACCCTCCTTTGGGTATGTATCGAAAGGAAATGCACTCACTGCCTTATGAAGAGATCTGCCCTCCTATGTTCATTGCAGCATTGTGCACAACAGCCAAGATATGAAAAACAAGCTAGATTTCTATCAGTAAAGAAATGGATAAAGAAATGCAGCACATATATGCAATATAATAATACTATTTGGTCTTGAAAAATGAGATTCTGCATTTACAACTCTATAAAGGACATTATACAAAGTGATATGTGACAGATACAGACAAAAAATACTGCATACCAGCCAGCAGCACGCATGGAGCTGGGCTAGACCTGGGCCCTTCCTGCAATTCCAGCCATCTCCACAGATGACCTCACAGGACCAAAGAACTCCAGCCAGAAGCGCACAAGGGCCTGGGCCAGAACCAGGCCCTCCCGTGTCCCACAGTCCTGACCACCCACCTCAGGACCTGGGAACTCCAACCAATGACATGCACCCCTGCAGTCACACTGCTGCCATCAGGGATCCCCCCACCCCACCTCCTGGACCTTGTATTTGCTGTTGATCTTAAGCTTCCACACCTCCCCCCAGAACCTTGGACTGCAGTAGATTAACCATGCAGCATCAAAGGGAGACTCAGTAAGAACTCAGCAGGCTTCCATCCATGAGGTGAGTTTGCCCCTAAAATAGGAATAGAGTTTGTCACTTTCAGTGGGTAAACAGCAACAGAGAAGCTCCCTCCAGAAGTAGGCCATAAGCAAGCTTGGCAAGTGGGTGGGTGAATCCTTTCTCCACACAGAGAATATCATGTAGGTTGAGGAGGGTGCCAACAAGACCTCCTCCAACCTGGAAAAAATTAAGGGGGCCTGTGGAACACCCAGAGACACAGTAGGGCCCCAGCCAAGACAAACACTATAAACAGGGAGATGTAGTGACTCTGAACAACCTGAGGACATAATAACAGTAGGAACTAGGGGTTGATTTCCATCGATACTCTTAGGCTTATAAGCCTAGGAAGCACATGGGACTCACCCAACAAGCCCTGCAGGTGGAATTCAGGTGACTGACCTACCTCTTCATTGTGGGACCC